TGATATGGAATTAAAGTTATTTTTGCACTATTTAATATAAAATAAATGATTAGGATCGAATTAGTGAAGGGTTAGTGGATATAAAAGTATAAAATTAAGTGTTAAATGTATTATAAATTGTCATCGTTGGAGTATCGAGCCCAAAGTTGAGCGAATGTATCAGCGATTTCTTCAGASTTGGTCAGGACTTTATTATTTGTTTGAATGGCTGTGACAGGAGTGTGGGGAATGCCAGTTATACGTTTAATGTCAGACCAAATCCTTTTTGGGGTTGAAGAAGGATTAATTTGTGAGGTAAAATCTTCGAAACTTCTCCTCTTTGCAGCCTTAACCATTCTTTTAAAACACGCGTTAGACTTTTTGTAGTTGGTAAGGTTAGTGTCGGATTTTATTGCTGCATTATAAGTAATTGGCCTTATTTTGTTCATTTATTTTTGTTCATACAATAACAAAAGGGTTGCATTCTAACTAGTAATCAGTGCTACCTTACGTTCATATTTTACAGAAGAACCAAAAGGAATAAAGAAAACAATTAATATCCCAATGACAGGAAATATATAACACATTAGTTTTCCGCATAGAAGTCTTTCTGCATTGGTGGCCTTCGTTCGCGCTTCAAGAACATAACTTTTGGCGTGYTCTGTTTTTTTGCGTTGAACTCCCTTTTGCCCGATCCAACACCGGCATTTATCAAGATAGTGAGAATTCTGAAAGATTTTACATTACTCATCACACGATATTGAATTTAGTTATGACGTCATAATCTTTCTTTTTTTCTTATTTTTGTTCCATTACAAAAAATGGTAACACTAATTTTTTGCTTGTTTACAACCATTCTTATTTTATGAATAAATGGATTTTAACTAAAGTTTGATATGGAATTAAAGTTATTTTTGCACTATTTAATATAAAATAAATGATTAGAAACGAATTAGTGTAGTGTTAGTGCTGTCTCTTATACACATCTAGATGTGTATAAGAGACAGATATTGAATTTAGTTATGACGTCATAATCTTTCTTTTTTTCTTATTTTTGTTCCATTACAAAAAATGGTAACACTAATTTTTTGCTTGCTTACTTTGATATAGAATTAAAGTTGTTGCACTATTTAATATAAAATAAATGATTAGGATCGAATTAGTGAAGGGTTCTTATACACATCTAGATGTGTATAAGAGACAGTGTTTACAACCACTTTCTTATTTTATGAATAAATGGATTTTAACTAAAGTTTGATATGGAATTAAAGTTATTTTTGCACTATTTAATATAAAATAAATGATTAGRAWCGAATTAGTGAAGGGTTAGTGGATATAAAAGTATAAAATATAAGTGTTAAATGTATTATAAATCGGATAAACACGCATTTTAAATAGTTGATTTTTGATGCAAAAATCGCAAAAACCATAAGTATATATATATTTTCTTGATCTGGTGGACCTCCTCTATCAGTACATACCCAAGGGCTGCCATCTCGGCACTATATCTTGAAATTATTTCAGGCATGTTTTGTGTTGTTACAACAACAACATGGGGAAGACCAAAACGGTTTTATAACATACAAATACGATCAATTCTAAGAGCTGCAAAGATAAATCCTATTTTGAAAACTCGACTACTATAAAAAACCTTAAAATTTTAAGTGTGACATTCGACAGTCTACACCCCGCTCACATCCGAAATTATTATAAACGTACAGAGACGCAACAAAGTCGCCCATCATTAACTACCACACAATATGGTAGCCTGCATGCAGGCACCGCACTATGGACTATAACCGAATGTCTCTAACAAGCGCAATATACTTCTCTCCAAGCAGTTTCTACTTGGCCTTTTTTTTTTTTTTTTGTTTTGTAGAAACTTTCCTAAATTCCACCGCATGAAACAAGAGTGAGAACGTAATTTCGTTCGGAATATCTCCTACTTATCCAGAATACACACTGACATACAAAACCCATGTCCTGTACTGCTGCCCTTAATCTCCTCGTTGGAAGACCAATGAAACCAACTCATAACATATACGTGGTGGAAATTGAAGAGGCAGCTTTATCTGAACAGTTGCAAAATTAATTCATTTTGTAGCTTTTTAGTAAAGAAAAAAGAGCGACGAGAACGTCAAACTAAAACGGTCGGGTTGAATCGAGATGAACCGGCATTAACAGTGGCCAAGTTAAGATTTAATGTCAGGAAACTTTCAGAGCTGCACTGTCAACAATTCCGTCAGAACGAAGCAGTCGCCCAAATGCGACGAGGAGAGCAATTGAGTTCCATCAGCATAGTTAATTGTCCAGACGCACGAAGTGATTATTTCTAATTCCTGTGTATAACGATTGATTTTGCTTATGAAATAATCCCCTGAAGGGAAGTTTCTAAAATCAACTATTCCAAGTTTATCGCATTTATAACCTATTTCATTCCTTTTTATTCCCTAATAAAGTGTGTTAATCTCAGACTTTTATTACAGATTTTTTCGACTATTTACTTGTAGTTTCTAATTATTCGCATATAATTGTTATTAACTATTGTTGTTACATTGTTACATTCATATATAACTTTTCTTAATTTCCTCTCTAAGTATTTACTCTTCCTCAAGAATTCATATAAAGATTTATGATTTAGGAGTATTACAACTAAATAAATAGTATGAAGTTAATTTTGATATACTAATTTGGGAAGAAACTAAAACATAGGGATCTAATTGGTCAAGAATAAGAATGCCAACTTCAATAGAAAAATTTAAAATATCTAATATTGTATTTCACCCGTTGACTAAACAAATCAGTTAAATTGGCACTCTTTCTCAATTCCTAAGTAGTGTGGTATATATGCAATATGGCTACGCACCTGATAAACAATGTCTTAAAATCAATTATTTAATGCCCTGTTTAGAGCCACTGATGCTTATTGGTTTACACGTCACTTCTAATTCCAATAAGCGATCTGGAACTATGTCAATATTTACTACGATGCATCTTTTCAGGACAGTCTTAACGTAAAAACAATAATTTTTTATCAACAAATAATTTACATATTTTAGCACTAGTAAATATTATGGTATATTGCAATTTTTACATTTTAAACACACGCCTTAGTAAAACTTCGTATAATTCAACATTAACTGATTTGTAGTCAGCATGCGGAACAATAGAGGATCGAAACCCAAACAGGTGACCAATATTATTCATATTATATATAATACATTGCTTGCACGTACTTAAACTAAACATTATACCAAAATTTTCCTAATTATAATATAACCAAAGGCGAAATTTACGTTTGAAAAGTTTAGTTGGGAGTATAATTGCACCAAATACATATACAAAATTTGATTTTATGATAAGAAAATATAACAGCTTTGAATTTTACACCCTGTTACTTTATTACTTCAAACTCAGAGACGACAACAACCAACAGGTAGCATTTGTCAAAATAGTGCTGGCAATTGTCACTATCGCTTAATTTAAACGTTTATAATTCTATTGACAACAATGGACAGCTGCAGCTTTGCTACTAATACATATATGAAATGTAATATTAAAAGCTTTAACAATTCCACCGTATTCCATTACCATGGTAATACGAGACTCTTTGATTCGAGAGAGAGCTGTCAAAACTCGCATTTTGTATAACATTTGCCAATGATGCCACTGCTGAAATATATTTAATTGGGTATTTAACAAATTATACAAAACACTAAATTAAACACTTTGAAAATGCATACATATAATATATAAATGCTAAAATGCAAAATCATTAATTAATTTACATAAACATTTTGTTGATGTTTAATAACGTTCGCGGAAGATGAATTATATTTATGCGGATTGAACTAAAAGGCGTGTTATGCGGTCGAATTCCTTTATTGAAGAGAGAGATAAAACGGAAGCTGGTTTGACAGCAAGCACATAATGCCCATGAAGCTTCAAACATATGTTTAAAAAGATGATGCCACATAGGCGCGAACATACCGGCCGCCTCGAACAACAGTTAAAAAAAAAAACTAGAATTTTAATTAAATTCTAAGAATATCATACAGAAAATATGTCCCCCTTTGTTGGTAGTAGCGACAGTTTGATCACGGGCCTTAACAGCTCTCCTTCGGATGTCTTCAAATTTACAACCCGCACTTGACCATCACTCCCTGGGGAAGTGCCAATAACACGACCAAGCTTCCGTTGAATTGGGGGGGCGTTGCCTTCATGTATGATAACGATATCATCTTTCTGCAAATTCGGCGTTGAACGTATCCATTTCCAAAGATGTTGAAGACTTATAAGACATTCGTCTCGCCATCGATTCCAGAAGTGTTGTCTAATTGACACAATGATTTGCCAACGTTGAAATATAGTTCCCTTGAAGACCTCAACGTCAGGGTCGGGAAGTCCYTTTAGCGGTTCGCCAACCATGAAGTGTCCAGGAGTAAGGACTTCAAAGTCATTTACATTTGTAGGAATGAAGCAAATAGGACGCGAGTTTACACAGGATTCTACTTCAGTCAGTACTGTTGCAAATTCTTCGTAAGTTAGAAGCGAAGTATCTAAGACCCGCTTAAGATGATATTTGATACGTTTTATACCCGCCTCCCAGAAGCCACCCATGTGAGGGGCGTTTGGAAGATTGAAACGCCAAAATATTTGGGCGTTTGCGAAATATGACGGCACTCTTTCATCGCGAATGCAGCGTTCATAGGTTAATCGTAATTCCTTTTCAGCACCTACGAAGTTAGTGCCGTTGTCAGAGTAAATGTGCTGACAGTATTCTCTCCGGTTAGTAAAACGTTTGAAAGCAGCTATGAAAGCAATCGACGAAAGGTGTCCAGCAAGTTCGAGATGCATTGCACCAGTACTCATGCAAATAAATGAGCATATGTATGCCTTTATAGATTTTGCACCTCTTCCATGCGTAAATTTCACGGCGTAAGGGCCAGCGTAATCTACTGCACTATGTAAGAAACATCTGGTTGAACTGAYGCGACTTGGAGGCAGATCAGCCATGATTTGTTGTAGTGGTTGACAACTCAGTCGTCTACAGCGAATGCATTTTCGATATGTACCACGGACAAGGTTACGAATGCCTGGCACCCTAAATCTTCGGAGCAGCGCGGCTTGCATTATTGAGGTCCACCATGTAATGTTAAAAGATGTACTTCTGCTGCGACTATTTTAGCCAGCGGTGATTTTTTCGGCACTATTATAGGATTTTTAACATAATCCGAAAGCGGTGCGTAGGATACCATTTGCGTCTAGAAAAGGTTGTAGTCTTGCTAGACTGCTTCTTATATGTATTGGCTTATTTTCTCTGCAATTAGAAATTTCCTTTTTAAAAACAATAAATTGAGTATACTTTACCAATGCTATTTCAGCGTTTTGAATTTCAGCTCAAGACAAGCTGCCGAATTGTCGTACAACGGCGTTAGCCCTTGTGTTATTGATGAAGCGTAATAAATAAGCGAGAATTAGTTCCCCATTTCCGTAGTTCGAACCCACTTTCAGAGAGCGCGTGGGAGACGTTTTTTTGAAGTAAAACGAGCTTATCAAATGCATCAGCACCAGATAGTAAGTCATCCATATAGAAGTCTGACCTTATAACTTCAATGACTTCCTTGCTTGCGTTTGACGCGTTAAGTGCGGGGCGATGTAGAGACTCGAAGTTTCGTTGTTTGACTTGTGGTCTTTACCACCGCATGATGTGGCATATAGTAAAGTTTATCTGTTGTCGTCTCAGCTGGTTCCATGTGCCCCATAGAGGTGAGTTCATCCATAAACATAGTATACTCTTTGCGAAGTTGTTCGTTAGCTGCAAATCTTCTTTCCATGCGGAGTAATGATCGCATAGCTGCTTCTCGTGATTCACTTAATTTTAGGTGAACGTACATTTTTCTTCAAAGGTAAAAGTACGATGTAGCGACCATCCGAGGCACGTTCGGTCGTATCGTCGTATAGTTTCTCACACATAGATTCAACTTGTGGAAGGACTGAGTTAAATGAAGGTCGGAATGTAAAGTCGAAATGTTCACCGGTGGGTTTTGTAAATTGGCAGCATTGCCAAACAGTACCCATCCGAATACAGTATTTTGTGCCATTGGTGTACACCATTCACCCTTACGGAGTCCGTGTTGTTAGAAATTTGTCCATTTCATCCATTCCAATTAAAACGTCTATTGGTCCCGGCTGGGAATAATAGCGGTCGGATAGTCGTAAATCCGTAAGATGCGGCCAAGAAATTGTCGGTAAAGCGGAGGTTGGGAGATCGTTAGTAATTTTCGGTAAGATGAGCGTACTTACTTGAAATTTACTATCAAGCGTTCGCGTTGATATGGAGAATGTAACTTCTCCCTTTGCACGGCCTCCTTACAGAGACCCAATCCCAGTGACGTGAACGGATGACAGCGTTCTGGGAAGGCGAAGTCATTGGACACACGCCTCGGTGACGAATGAGGCATGTCAAGAAGTGCGCGAGCGGGTTGCCAACGACCGGTATAATCTTTTACCATAATTTCAGCAGTTGCTAGTAGAATGACGCGATCAGCGTGAGCGTAGTGTGAGGTTACATTTAAACGTTGTTCATTGGAARGAGAATTGAGCCTTCCCGGTTGATTGATAAAGTTTTCGTGAAGTAAGGTATGATGACGTCGTTGACATTTGCGACACGACGATGTGCTATAACAGTTAGCGAGGATATGCCCTTTGCTGAGACAATTTATACACATACTTAACTTCTTAATAGCAGTTAGTTTACCCTTGGAGTCGAGTTTACTTTAATTTAGCACTTGCTTTATTCCCTTAGCAGTATCCTTGGCTGTACTCTAAATTGCCATGAGTGCTTTGATGTGGCTGTCCACCAAGATACGCATGATCTTGTACCTCGCGGTCAATAAGTCCCAAGCTTCAGTGTAATTGCTATCACAAACTGCTAAGCTACTCACCAAATCGAATGCTTCCCCATTCAAACATTTTGGTAAATAGTGTAATTTTTGTCCGTCCGACAAATTGACATTCGTATGAATGAGTGAGCAAAAAGCATCATGAAAAGGAAGCCATTGAGTGGGATCGCCACTAAATGACGGCAACTGTAGCTTTGGAAATGGTACAGGAGTTGTTGAATCATGAACGGTAGTTTGCGATGTCTGCTGCCTTTGAGTTACGCACAGGCGGTGCTGTACCACTGCTCACCTTGTATGCGTGCCTGCTCCTCCATAAAAATGTTCTCGTCACCACATGTGAGTTCCACCTCTTGTTGTGCTACGCAAAACCTAATCCATTGCTCTTCTAACAATTGGAGGTAAGTAGTTATTACCTCAGTGTCTATCGACAGAGCATCGACTTTGCTAGATTGCAAAAAGCGTTTGATAGCATTTAGCGCGGAGTCGCGAATTTTAGCCGATGACATGATTAATATTAAAAATGCRGAAAAATATTGAAAATAATAGCGAATTTGCGGAATATCATTAATATGCGATGTTGATATGAATATGTTGATGTTTAATAACGTTCGCCGAAGATGAATTATATTTATGCGGATTGAACTAAAAGGCATGTTATGCGGTCGAACTCCTTTATTGAAGAGATAGATAAAACGGAAGCTGGTTTGACAGCAAGCACATAAGTGCACATATGTTTAAAAAGATGATGCCAGATAGGCACGAACACATTTATTTTACCAAAATATGTTCACACAGTTCAATGAAATTTCATTTCACACTAATTTCGTCAGGTAATTATAACGGTTTACTTCTGGAATTACGTCTTTCATGAAATCAACTGTCAAAAATTCCCTGATCTCCATCGCTGTCAAATAATCAGGGAACGCGTTTGAGAGAAAAAGAGGGCCAATGCGAAAGTCTCGTATCATATTATCCATAACGCGGGTATGATGCCATTAGAACCCTGTGACTTGAAGGGTTTGAATGAATTCAGCTCCCATGTAAGGTGACGTGCATCCAAATGGGATAACCAATTTCATTGATATTACAAACCTGTTTTTGTTTTATTTAAATAAATCTTTTCTAGCGCTTTTATTGAAAACCCCTTTTTTAAAATTGAGGCCACTGATACCGAAATTCCGCAGTAAATTTTAATAATTCTACTCGTTGTTCGACCGTATATCTTTTCGTCAATCGACATTAGAG